CTAGATTGCGAGAGCAAAAGAAACTTGCAGAAATTGGGTGAAAACACTGCACTACATCTGAAATCGAAGATTTTCGTTTCAAACCCGCTGCAGAATCGCTGCAACCTGCTACAATATAACATATCGCGCTAATAACCCATATAGGCTCTCTTTCTCCTCAGTCTTTGCTTGGCAAAATAACAGCGCTGTGCGCACACAAAGCCTCCACCAGCGATGCGGACGCGCTACTCCACGTGAGATTCTCGCCTATGCGTTGAAACGTACTGTAATTCAGGTAATTTACATGAGAAGCTTTGAATCATACCTGGTACAGTAGATTTTCTGGTTACAACATATTTAAGGCACTCTACGCCTCAACCTAAGTCCCACTCACTTCATGCTAAGTGTACATACTGCCTAAAGTTTGATTTAGACCACAGCCACTCAATACAATGTTTCGAATACTCTTTGAAAAAGTTCATAGGAAGCTAGTTTGCTTTAAACCCCAGGTTGTTCTTCTACATCTAGAACTCAAAACCACAAAAGTGTAGATGGGAGGAACTCGACCGCGGCAAACTCCTGACTGGAAATTGCGGGACTGATTTTTATATTTTTCACTCTCCCAACGACAGGGGAATCGGAAAGCGGAAAATCCCCATAGCAGTCCTTCAGTCTTTTGATGTTTTTTTCTCGCTACGAGAAAACTGGGAACTTCCATCATCTTACTGGAAGAAGATTCCCTCTAGGGAGATTTATTCAGTCATACACGTGCAAGTCATCCAATTCTTTTCCATGTACATTTCGTTCAGCCTATAAATCTCTTACATAAACTTGTCTTCTGTTGTTATTTTTATTGCTCTTGTTCAATAATTTACTACCCTTTAGTTTATCAAAATCTCTGGTTTTCAGAGTTCTTCCTTGATATCAGCTCTGCATTCGACACTCAGTAAAGTCTGGTACAGTTATGCGCACCTTTGCACCTATCTAATTTTCAAGAAGATCGATCACACAATTAGAGGTCGTGTAATAAACCTGTCTTCGTTCTTGGGTTCTCACCAATTCAGCGCTGTCTAATCTCGTTCCATTAATTCGTTTTGATACGCATGACAATTTTAGTGTCTTGTTTATGTCCCTTTTTCTTGGAGCATCCCCTGCTTGTACTTCAACTTTTTTTTTGCTACCAAAATTGCTGGAATGCTTGCATTTTTGACTTAGTATTGCAGCAAAAATAACTAATTAGTTGTCTGGCGACTCGACCGTTTTGATGTGATCTGAAAATCGCTTTTATTAGCTTTTTGACAAGTCAACAACCGCAGGGCGTAAAAAAATGAAAGTCGCGTTTCGAAAAAAAATTTGAAGGTTTTTTCATCCCCTGAAGAGAATTATGTCAAATTCGCTAGCTACAAGACTGGAAACCTGGAAAGTCCTGGGATGAATCATAGGCTAAAGACAGAGATTTATTTGAGTGAAGAAGCCTAAGTTTAATCAGTGAGAAAAATCTGAGAAGTTTGTTAAGGTTGCGACCCTGAGATCTGAATTTTTACTGGTTGCTAGTTCGGTAAAAAATGAAACTAGCTACTCTATCGTCATTTGAATAGCATTCTTGTTTGGACTCATGTTGAACAAGCACAACTTTCACCGAAGTTATTATTCACTCATCGATCAAACTTCTTGTATACAGCGTTTCTTTAACGTTACTGTGTCACTCTTATGCTTTTTTACATGCAGATGGTTCAATGAATTAATAAAGCTTTTAAGTAAGAACGGTTTTTACTTGCTGCTATCCCTTTAAGGCACCGTCAGCCCATCTCGACTTTCGTGTTTTTATCGTTCCGGTGCCTTCGCATGTATCTGATCCCAAATATTAAGTCGAGAATCCACGAAAACCCTGATAATCTCCGTTCGCAGAACCCATAGCGCGAGTTTACCGGAACGGTGATTGGCTGGGTGCGCACGGATGGGCGGGGCGAACGTCCACTTAGAGGGGAGGAGCCAACGTGGCGAATCCGTTATCCGAAGTGGCTTTCTGAGCAAGTTTCTCGCTTCAGGAGCAACTTTTGGCAGCACGAGTTGGGCAACTATACAGTTGAGGGGGCCCGCTCCTGTTCGGCATCAAAATCTCATCGACCCAATTCTGGGTGGAGGTGCCTTTAAGCTTTCGCCGCGTTGAAGACACCAGGGGAAAAATGATGATTATTAGAGATAAATCTGTGAAGTGTTTGAAAAATTAAGGGGAATTCTGTTGCGCAATTATTCGTTTTTTCGCGAGACAAACCATACATCTAGGTACGTACACCTGGCTTGGCGGCATCGGGAGCGGGCACCGTAAGCCCTGGGCCGGTATGTATCAATCGCCCGTCCGGGTAAGTTACCCGGACAGGTAGTTTCCGCTTCATAGCTCGGTGCTCTGGGGATCTGTGTTCTTCCCTTGTTTGTTCATCTTTAGGAGGCTCTACTACCCTAATATTGTATCACAATGAGTAGCAGCACTTTGCTGTATAAGCTGAGATAATTCGTTATTTGTGTAATCCCGAACGGGATCTCCCACTGATCACGCTCACTTTCAAATTTATTTATATTAGCAAAAACTCGATGGAAACGTCACAGAGTTTTGCTGTCGATTTATTACGACGCTACGCATGTTTGTGAAAGAAATAAGTGGAAAATCAAGTTGACAAAATTTTCGATGAACCTGTGCTCGCGAGTTGGGCTTTATCGAAGAACTCAAAACTTGCACATTTCATCTGTGCTACTAAAAACATGCGTAGCACTGTCGTAATAGATCGACAGCAAAACTCTATGACGTTTTCATTGAGTTTTTGCGGATGTGAAGATGTGAACAACTTTGAAAATGAGCGTGATCAGTGGGAGATCCCGTTCGGGATTACACAAATAACGAGTTATCTCAGCTTATACAGCAAAGTGCTGCTACTCATTGTGATACAATATTAGGGTAACAGAGCCTCCTAAAGAACAAACAAGGAAGAACACAGATCCCCAGAGCACCGAGCTATGAAGCGGAAACTACCTGTCCATGTAACTTACCCGGACGGGCGATTGATACATACCAGCCCTGGGCACACTTCACGCGATTTCAGTCGCGACGCCACTTGGCAATCCTCTAATTGTTCATAACCAATTTTGAGGGGTTTCTGAATGAACGGAATATAGGGCATTTTATCAACCTACGAAATTCATAATACGTGTTATGCATTTGGGATCCGCCGGTATTTAGAGACATCTGGCAAATTGCCAGATTGCGTGGGAGACGAAATCGCGTGAGGTATGTATGTCCACGGGCTTGGCTTACAGTTGCGTATGCAAGCCGTTCATTTTTTGATAGACGGTCTTCGTATAGTTATCAAAATGCTTTGCTCTGCCTCATCTGTACAGCCACCTCTAGAGTTCCAACCTCCAAGAAAAGCAATGTGTACTGTATGTGTGTGCTGTATACACACTTATTCACAATCATTTTATAGTGGCTGCCTTTTTTTGCCATGCTTATAATGCATATATAAAATATACCACGATATTACATGTATAAAATAATGCCATACTATTTTTATAGTCGTGTCGTAAATTTATTTGAGCCATTAGAATTTGTTCTAACATCGAAAAATAAGTCACCCTACTACCTACGAATCCAACCATTCGTGATTCATCTTCTGAAATTTTTCTGCGTTGGCGCTTTGCGTGACTTCTAATGAAGTTATATGAGACTCCAAAGCCTGCTGATGATTTTACATAGCCACATTTTGAAATTCCTCACGTGCCTCCCAGTTGCTGTCCATATGACAACAAAAAAGTTCCAGTACAAGGCAAAATCCTTGATCTCCCTACTCCAAACTGAATCTTTTGATCGAATGTTAAATTCACTGCGTGTGATGTTTGCTCCTTCAGCTACCTTATTTTCAACTTTGAGTTCATAAAATGTAACTGTTGAATCGCGTTTTCTGTTCAACTCATAATATCACCCTCCTTCCGTACAAAGAAGTATCACCCTCCTTCCTTATAAAGAGATTTCTGCATTTCTGTTGTGTTCTGACTAGATTAAAATTTCTTCTTGCAAAACTGAAAGATTTGTCTGTGAGTCTGCAAGAAGCCCTGTCAGACTCTCTTTTCACTCTCTCATATAGTGGCAGCGATGTCAAGGGCTGAAAAAGAGAAATTTTTTCGAGCTCAATACAAAAAGCATCTTCTCCGTATTCTTCCGGCAACCCTCCACATACAAATTAAATTCATACGAACTGAAGGCAAGTATTAGCTGCAAGCAAGGCATGAAGTCCATATCGGTCGAGCAGTACTGAACTGTTTTGCTTTCGTACCTGTTGATGCTTTTCCTTTGCGAAATAGACCGATATCTCTATGCAAAACTGAACGATTTCATTGTTATACAGTACAGATAGCTCGACTTTGTCTAATAAACAATGGGATAGAAATTGCTGGCGATGTTCCCATACGTCCACTTATTACTTCTGTTCTCCTGCTCTCATGCCTTTGGCAAGCAAGGATCAGGTGAGCTTTCATTGTCAAGTCTCAGCAAATCCGGCACCCTTCGCTGTAAATAAGAATGCAGATACAAGTCATTTGGAGTGGAGAAATACTAAAAACTCAGTAATAATGAAGACTTTTATGGTTTATGTACTGTAAATTTACCCTCGATGTGATAGAGTCTTGCACATCTACGCACACATTCTGGGTTTAAGACAGATATGTAGTTCTGTGTTTTTCCCTCTTAGTGATTTGCTGAACTATCGTATCCAAACTGGATTCCCGATTACGCAAAAAAATCCTATAATAGTGTTTCTGAGACCTATGTTAGCGTAGAATGGGGCGTAGTGTATTACAAATTTTTCTGAAACTTAAGAGTTGTATTTCATTTGGGAAATATTGACCCTTTTCCATACAGAATACAAATCATCTGACATTTCTCTTCTATTATTTTTATTCATTCAGAATAGCATACATTCAGCTATGAAATCATTGTAGAAAACCCTTTCAAGCTCCAGTTGAAAGCATGGATGGGAGGATCACCTGTTACTTCATTGACGCAGCCTTCATCGGCAAAGAAGGTGAACAGATTATGCTTGCTCTGGCCATGGTCGGAACAATTTTTTTATTCATTTAGAAACCGGAGATGAGCTTAAAAGTTCGAGTGTCTAATCAAGAAAGGAAAATCTCCCACATAGAAAAGGACACATCACTCGAAGAGGTCGCTCCAAAAATGGTAGCGTGTTTAAATTTACTTGCGCAGATTATCTATCTGCTTAGGAACCCGCACAAAGGGAATACGAAGTTGTTCAATTACGGACTCCCGTAATAGGAGAAGCTACTCACTATGACCCTGATCTCAAGACAGAACCAGCATCTGAAGAAATGATCTCAGCAGAGATTTTAGATGACACTGGTCGAATAGGACCTATGTTTGAGGTGCGCGGTAAGTATTCATTGTTATGAAAAGGTTAGAAAAAAAACATAAGGTTTCTGTAATTTAGATACAATGATCTTCCGTCCACCTCCACCACTGCCGGAAAAGAACATCCTCCATGCTCACTTTGATACCGCTTTATTAGAGAAGGAAACTATGATCAAAGTGCCTGTAAGCTGCTGGTCTGTTTGTGTCACAAAAAAAGTGATCACTTTATTTGAGGTACATAACAGATGGGACCCAAAGGGCAAAACCGACAACAGCGAAATCAAAGAGCCAGAGGATGATTTGTACTGGGAGGAGCTACGAGCAAAGCTCAAAAATATTTCGAAATTGGAACAGCAGGGTGGAGATAGACATCGGTAAGCGTTGGTCTAGTTTTTCTTTAGATTTTGTCGAATAAATGAGAAATTTTTACGACAACGAAAAGAAGGTAGGTTTTTAAAATAAAAAATCAGCGAACTTCAAATCTTTAGCGATTATGGAAGCAGCTTCATACTCCCCGTATTGTCGAGCACCCAGTACGACAATAATACCGTTCCGACAGCTTTTTCAGGTAATTGTGTGTCGTTATCTCTTTTCTCATTTTCACTTCTTTTCCACTGAATATGTTCAAGGAGTTTCTAAAAAATACTAATAAATAAATAGATAAAAGATGCTAGCCTACACTGAACACGAACCGTAACACATCTTATCTCAAACCCGGCCTTTTTTCTTTTTTTTTAATTCTAAAGCCATTTCTTTGAGATATTCCTGTCACGGTCGCTGTACAGCTAAACATACTCTACCTCGCGAATTTCGACAGTCAGCTTATGGAATATTCAATTGATGTCGAAATGGCCCTCAGCTGGTTTGATCTCAGGTAGACGGCCTTGTTAGTTTATCGCCTTCCAGTATCAATTGTTTTCAGGCTTGCAAATAATTATACAAAGCCTATAAGGATTCGTGAAAAACAGATCTTGGACCTGATCTGGAAGCCCGACCCATATTTTGTGAACTCAAAGTTCTCGCATTTCCATGAAGTATCATTTCCTAATTTTCGTATGAGAGTTTTTCCAGATGGCCTTGTGAAGTATACTATGAGGTAAATTATTTCCACAGCTACTGCCATTTGAAATAATGTTTTTGTTAGGATAACCTCGGTATGCAACTGCTTCATGCTATTCTGTCTCTATCCACACGACCGCCAAAAATGCGACCTTCAAATTAGTTCCAGTAAGTTGACCAGCTGAAGGAATTATGGCTTTCGTTAATCGAATTAGAGCGCGGGACTAGCTAATGTGTTGATAGAGCGGCTGTCCAAATCTGTCTGCAAAACAATAGAATTAATCTACGCATTTCCAACAAGAAAGATCAGCTTAAAGAGTGGTTAGATCTCAAGTTTTCAAAACTACCCTAAATTTGCTAACTCTCTCCACTGCTAGGATATATGACGTTCAAGCCTAGCACGTGTCTATTCTATTTTTATATCAAAATACACTCGAGGTACACCAGAAGGGAAAAAATAAAAAGTTCGAAACCGCGCGAGACCACAGTCTCAGGGAGAAAAAAAATTCATGGCTAATAAGAAACACGAAGTTATACCCGTGCTAGCAAAGTAAAAAAAACGCCCAACTTTGACGAAAGAATAATCTGAAGAATCTTGCATCCCTAAAACGCATGTATATATGGGTATCATACTTAAACAGCTGAAATAACTTTTCTTTTCTAAGTGTCAATAGTTTTCCTTTTCTTTTCCATTGGTCAATTAGCTCTCCACACGTATTTCTCTCCTATTGAGCAGTTAAACATTTACAACACGGCTCATGCGTACCAAATAAAATATACCTGATGATAAATATCACATGGGCGCGAAGAGGGGATGGCCAGGGAAGTTCTTATTAACACATGGATGACCGCTTGACACACATGGTGTGTCAAGCAATGACTACCGCCTGGGACCGCGTGACACACCATGTCTGTCAAGGCTTGAATATATTTAAAATGACTAATATCCTGAGATAAAACCACTCCACGAGCTTTTTTTGCACTGAATCTATGGTTGCCCTCTACCTTTTTTGTCTGCCCTTCAAAACTACTGTAAGTGTACTGTAGATGGCAGTATGCGTAATTATAGTTGAAAAATCTGGGCTGCTCCGTAAATAGCTTTGGCCCAAAAGGCAGACAACTAGAAATTTGCATGGTCGTCAATGTGTTAATGACTGTAAACTGTAAAACCGCTATGAGAGCCCAAAATCGACAAGAAGATCTAAACAACGTGACAGCATTGTTGAGAATTTGCCGGAATTATGTCCCCAATATTATTTTACAGTCTGAGTTATTGCTGCAATCAAAACTGGATTCGAATCTCTCAAGAAACACCCAAGCAAAGGTGAAAGTATTCGAGAAAGTATTAGGAGCTCACAAACACGCTAGGGTGAATGGAGGAATTTTGTTGATTTGGATATTGTCATTTTTGTGACTTCGACATATCTTTTGTGCTGTATGATAGTTAGGAACTTTCTGTTTCAAATTTCCTACCCATCAAGTCCTTGCTTGGTAAAACAAGCTGAGAAAAAGAAAAAATAGACGATTATGGTTTTTGTTGTCTCAAAGTAGGTACCGTAATTTAAATGGGAAGAGGTCACATGCTGGAGTAACAAGTCCTTGAATCTGTACAACTGATACTGTGATGCTACAGGATTATATGGGGCTTTATGCCCAGTACGGTAGCTTACTGTAACGCTCTGCAACTTGTCGCACCTGCTGATGAGTCAGCGCTTCCAATGACGGCTGTGATATGATAGAACAATCGTGGGCAAAACCTCGATTGAACTTCTTATTCTTCCACTTTTGACACTGGAATCGGTGCAAAGACACCTTGTAGATATCCCGTGAACACATGCTCTACGTAATTGCACAGCACGCAACGCCTCGGGACGACAGTTCCTATCGCACAGATCAGGTAAAGAGCCGGCCAAAGTGGCCCTACCCTCCGTTTTGCTGTGTCGGCACTGCACTTTACGCACTCTCCTATAATGCGGTCTGCACTTAGACGGCGTATAACTGCCAGGTTACACAAGTGCAACAGCGCGTTGATAAACTTGCGACGGCGAGTTGCGCGAAGATTGTGGGGGGAAAGATCAAATTTTACTTGCGTTGAGTGAAAAGGAAATTTTTCCAGTTGCCTATCCATCGTCATTCCTTCGATTTGTCTGGCATTCGGATCCGATAATGTTTCAGTCAGAGATCGCACTTCCAGAGCTCCATGTTCAACGTCTTAAGACTGAACATTGTCGTGTGGAAGGAAAACTTAGTGAGTCTATTTTTTACAATTTTTTTTTGACCGAAAATCGAATTTCCAAAGCTAAGCTACTGCGAATGTTCTATGAGGAGAGAGGGCTTGAAAAATTGATAAGGAGAGTTGCGTGGACCATATTCACAAAAATGTTTACATGGCTTATCGATTTCTTACGGAAAAATTGATTATTTCAAGTGTCTTATCAAATCTCGTCAAAGGCTAATTTCGTCTAAATGCTTTGAGCAAAGTCATCTTGAGTATCTGGCTTATAGTGGAAATGTTCCGTAAAATTGTAAATAGTAATAATAATATAATAATGGTATTATTTGAAATTGTAGTTGTAATACTTTCTCTAAAATTGTAGAATTATGTGTCTTTGATGTTTTGTATATATTTTTCAATACTTTTACATTCAATTTTTATTCATTTTTGTGTATGCACACAATGCGCCTCACTTGACGGCTTGTAAGGCAAAATCTGCTCGTTTCCGCTGACTTCGCGTTGTTCCCTTGTCTCTTTCGGTTTGATTGGATATTAATTAGTTAGTACAACAAATTTCTACACTTAGTTCTCCTAGATTTTTTTCTTCTGAGGAGTTAAATACTAGCAATGGTGCCGTCGGTTGCCGCGCATAGTGTGCAAATCCATAAATAGTTGTAAATGACATAAGGGTATTTTTACTCCAGTTGATTCATCCTGCATTCGCCTCGTTTTTGAACTCGAACGTGATGGTGGACGATTTGTTGTCGAAAAATATATCCCAAGCACATTAGCTATGATGTTTGCCTGGGTGGCACCTTATGTACCGTACAACTACGAGGATGTTCGCATTATTACGCCGATTACGGTAGGACAAGTGCTTAGTGCGTCAGGACCGGATTACTGTAAAATTATAGGTGCTTCTGACGTTGGTGCAAATGGAGAAGGGTGATAAGGAGATCAGAACATCGTATCTGACATCCATGGACATTTGGTTCGCTGCTATGAAGGCATTCACGGCTCTTTCATTGGTCGAGAGCCTTATTGTACTGGCGCTTATAAAAAGGAGCAGAGCCATGGTAAGCGATTTTTGGTCTTACTGAGCTACGTAGAATTGTTTTGCATTTTCTCATCACATAAAAGAATTGGAAACTATAGAGTCCAATAAAGTTAGAGTTTTGCGCCGCTGGCGACAATTGCGCTAAAAAAGGCTTATGCAGCGCACATCTCCAAATTTTGCGCTCCACTGCCACTTTTTACGCGCAAGTGTTGTTGGCAACGCAAGCACGCTATATAGTCGTCAATTGACTGGACTGAATACAGCTCTCAGAACGTGCAACTTTTCCAAGAATGTCGCTACTTTCCGCGGCGTTTTAGTAATCGCGCGACATCTCGTGGATTCCACGAAATCACGCGAATCAAACTACGCGGCGCCATAACTCCTTTCGGAATGGATATATTCTGAACTCGAAAAAAGCGTTGGGCTCAGCTCATTAGGGCAAATCTTTTGATTAAAAGTCCCTCGATATTCCATTTTTATAGTATTTGCATCCTTGTGCGAACGCCTTCACAAGCTTTTTCAGGAACGCAGTATGCTCCGGGCACCGAACGAGCTACAAAAAGCTAATTTTCAAAGTGAAAAATACCGTCTTACTCGGCTCTATCATCGCTTTGACAGCATCAGTCGATTTTTATCACCTGTCGTTTTTGTTATGTTTTTCATATATTATGTATTATTCATAGCTCAAGGCGATGATCGTGGTTGCGTATCGAAGTAAAACAAATTCAGCTAATTTTTTGTTACATCCTGTTCTTTGGAAGACCATATATTAGAATATTTACAGTAGCCTACTATCTCGAAGACATTCAAAAAACAAAAGAATCAAGTATAACACAGAGGTAAACTAATGTGGCAAGTGAAAAGATGGCATGATTGCATGCATGAGCAACTCCTGCGTACTTCAACGACTCATCTTCGTGTTTTGTTTTCTGGAGAAGGAAATTTTTTTCCTGCCACCAAATTAGAAAAATCCAAACCTTGGGAAGAGGGAGTATCCTGTCAACAATTTGTATAAATCGGTCCACACTATGTGGAGGTGGGATATCTGCAGGGGTGGTGGCAAGTCGCTCCAGGATTAGGGTGATGACAAAGAGAGCTGCCGTTACGACAAGGTTGAAGCCAGCGTATTTCACTATAAAAAAAATAAGGAAATTACTCTTGCTCAGGCGCCAGCCAGACTTCGCTCAAAAACACCCAGAAGCGCTCAAAAAAGCTTTCTTTAATCTCTCAAAAAATTCCCTTTTGTTGACACACGCTCTGCGCTAGCACAAAAGCGCCAACATGTTCTCTAGGCACGCAAATGCTAGCACTGAATGTGCGTGAGGAGAAGAGATGAGAGATTGAAGAAAAAGGCACTTTTGGGCGTTTTTGAGCAAAATCTAGAAAGTACTTTGAAACGTTACACTTACGAATTGTCGGCGTATGAGCTGTGAAGCTTGGTAGACGTTGAGAAACAAGAATGAGAGATAGAATCTGCGATACAACAGAAAAACCAAGCAGTATCGGTTGTGTCTTGGACAACTGGAACAGATCTTGATTCTCCAATCAAAATATTGTGCAAAATGGTTTACCTGGAAGAAAACTGCTGATATCGTGAATAATGAGGTTATAAGAGCTGGAAGAAGCATCTCAGCTGTAAAGTATACAGCATTTCTTCGCAGCGACACGCACAGTTCGCAGTTGTCGGACTGCACATCAAATGGATTCCTCTTCGGATCAGAAAGAGATTCTATAGATAGAGGAGATTCCTAAAAGAGAAGATTCCCGGCCATGGATAGAATGCAGTTACATAGTAGACTTTCATTGTCAGTAATAAGTGCAACTAGTTTAGGGTGTCAATTTGTTGACTGTCAAATTCACCTATTTATACAAACGTCTCGGAGTGATGTGTCAGACTAGCCTGATAAATAGCTTTGATTAGAAACACTATAAGCTCCTGCAAAACGAAGGCGGTTGGTTCAAGGCGCGACGTGGCTGTGACGCGGCTGTGACGCTGCTGTGACGCAGCCATGTCGCAGCCGCGTTGCACATCGAACCGACCGCCTTCGTCTTGCAGGAGCTTATAATGGAACGATCAAGAATTTATATCGTTCAGACTTCGATCACCAATTTTCTAAGAATTAATCAATGTAAAAATTCTAGTATAAAAGAATGCATGAAAAGTGCCTTTGAAATAATTTTGAATGGCCAGATATCAAATCGCGTTTCTTCATTGATTGCAACCAAGTTTTATTTTAAAAATTATTTGACCAATAGCTGATTTCGCACACGAATGCTGCATATATTGGAGAAGAATTGTAGTGTATTCTAGCGAATGATAGAGGAGAACCTAGCATAAAAAGCCGGTGCCATGATGTACTTACATTTACATCCACATCAACAATTTTCCATCCAGACACGAATGGGTCCGTTGTCGCTTCTCGTTCCTTATTTTTGACTCCATCCGAGACTGTGAAATGTACGGCGAGAAGACGCTTATCGTCGAATTTGAAGCAAACCTGATTAGTGCATATTGTGCGAAATCAGGAAAACTTATTGGTTTCACCTTCTGTAGATCATTAGGATACTCTTCATACTGGAATTTGAACGGAGTTGAGAAGGAGAAATCGGCCCAGAGATAAACTTGTCCCGTATAATTTGCAGCCAAAACTTTGCTGGTCACTTGTCCTGGGTTTGATGTCGAGGCACTAGAATTTCGAATATAAGAATAAAATACGAAAGGCAAAAAGATATAAACATAAAACTATGTTAGTTTGAGTCTTAAAGTTCTTTCTTGTTAATAGCACACAAATGAAGCGGTGGCAGACCAAGAAGGGGTGGGCGCTTTCAACAAAAAATTCTTTGAATCATTTTGGTTTAAAGATGTTCTATACCAAGTTAAAAAATTGCGCAGATAACTATCTTTGTTCGCTGATAAGAAACAACTAATGCCATAAAAATTCACATTAGTTTTGTTTTGAAAAACCCAGGAGATGCAGCTGCTACCAAGCCACTTTTTTCAGGATTTTCGGAATGCGAGTAGTGAAGAGTTCTAGGAGTTTTTCAAAAATTTTTAGGGGACGCAAGTTTCTGTGCCTCACTCGAGGTTATTGTGAAGGTATGTACGAGGTAAACTATATTTTTGGAAATGCAAGCATATTTTTCATATAGCAAAATCACAAGAATATCAGATCAAATCATGAAAAGATACGATCATTCAAACTTTTGATTACATAGATAGATAGATATAGTCCCCTCCACAGATCGTGCTACCCTTGGTCTGAGTCTCAGACCTGCCACATGTGGCTAACATGTTGGCCGTTGGCAGCAACACGTTGGCAACATGCAACATGTTGGCGTGGCCAAAATGTTCTGCCAACATTTTGGGGCATGTTGCAAACATGTTGTTGCCACGTTGCCAACATGTTAGCCACAAGTGGCAGGTCTGAGACGCAGACCAAGGGTAGCACGATCTGTGGAAGGGACGATACTGTTCTGTTTACTAGACTCGAAATAGCTACAGACACGTTGTTCTAACAAGCTCTACCTTGTTCTTGCTCTCAAAATAGTGAAACATACAATGAAGTAAAGTATCATTCATTCTAAGACTAGGAGACACGAGACCGGGTGTAGGACGATTCGCACGACCGATGGTTTCCACACAGGACCACCGCCGCGCGCGAAACACCCTGCGGCGGCTTTTGCCTAAGCAAAACAGGGGGAGGAAAGATTTGCGGCGTGCATTACATGTTAAGACAAGTCAAACTCAGGGAAACGTTGGAGACCGCCCGTGTGAAAAGACCGTCTCCCCGCGAGACCGCATTGCGCACACTGTCTAAACAAGCCTAACCGTGTACTTAGCAGGTTTATACTTGTCATTTATCTGGTCCAGGTTTATTCATTCTTTGGAAACGGCAACCGGCAACTTGTTAAGACAATGTCCGCAATACAATCTCTCGTCTCATGGAATAGACAATACAAGTTCTCGCGTACTAAGCACGCTTATGCGTGATGTTCCCACACTTCCTATTCTATTAAAACAACAAACCTAATTCACTGCGAGCTAGGCGATTTATAAGACATAAACCCCAGGAGCGTGGTTATTTACCGTGACGTCATCGGAAAAATAAAAAAATGTGTTTTCGAAAATCAAGATATATAAGATAGAGTGGACGCTGATTCTGAATATATGTTTCCCTCTGTCTGAAACTGATTTTTAAGGAATATGTTGTTGCGGCGTTTCCGGCGCAATATCGAGCTTAATCCGCTGTTTTTTAACGGCGGCGCCGATGGTACTGTACAACATCACTAGTCATAAAAATATAGTTTTCGCACATGACTTGAAAGTTCAGATTCCTGCGAGCGTGGTCAGGTTATCACAAGAAATTATTATGGTTATTCTACTCGGTATAATCATAGAAACTGAGAAAATACCACAGACATCATCTTATGATGATAACCCTAATAGGGATTAAATAGGTGTTGCAGCTGATTGATTAGTGTGACTAAGCTAAGCTCAGCAAATCTTTTCTAGGCACTTGCCTTGTTCTTTCCTCTTGGCTCATTCTGTAACTTATTGTAAGTTAAAAATCTTAGATAATTCTTTTTAGAAAGCCCCTGTTTTCTATCAAAAAGTATACCGTAAACGGCGCAAGTGATTGAGATCTCACCCATTCAGTTGTACAATTTGTGGGGTCCAAATCTGGATCCAGTAGAAATTCAGCCAGCTCAAACCCCACTGATTTTTATCCCAAGCGATGTTCGTATCGTTCCAGCTCTGCAACATAGGATTCTTTCCACATCAATGATTCAGTAATAATCGAACATACGAGAACTAGTCGGCCGAACACTTTCACATTCTGTTTCTTCTCATCCTAAAAATCGTTGCGCAAACTATCGTAATAAGCAGAAGTAATGGAATTCTCTTACAATTTCCACGTTATTGATGCGAACGCTTTCCACTCGGACGATTCTGGTCAGGTTATCAGTGACGTTCTGGTAGTTGGACTGGATGTGAGTACGTAGTTTCCAGGCCTTGTCACCACCTTGGCACGAGTGGCATGACCTTCGGCAATTGGCCATCATCCTAAACGTACAGTCTCTCGCGGCTCAACCTTGGGTTAGAAAGAAAGCTTCCCTTACCAAACTGCATTAGAAGTGCATTCCCCTTCCGAAGCCCATTCGGCACATTTTGGGTCCGCATCTTCACAGCCGTCCTTTGCGTTCACTACAAATAGGCTACGATAATATCCACTCTCGATAATTTTCTCTGCACAAAAAGTTTTTCCCCAAGAAAGGTCGTCAAAAATCTCCACGATCTCCGGTGCTGATCTAATGGTTTCGCTTTTCTCGCTGAACGAAGAAACTTGATTGCGAACAACAGCGTTCAGGTTTCTCAGGTAGGGTCACACTGCTCAAAAACCATAATTGTGATTGAAGCAGAAGATTAGTGAGTAAAAAAGTGGAACCATTATTGTAATCGAAGCACAAGATTAGTGAGTAAAAAAGTGATACTTCTAAAGGACACTAACCTGTTATGGAATGCATTAGGAAGAAAAGAAAAGAAAAGATTAATGTAGATGCTTATTCATTTCGATGAATTGTGCATGAAATATTGTGATAATCAAGCAGGTTATTCTACCTATTCCGAAAGTGCAAGTAAGACCTAATATGGCAACTTCTGTTGGTTTCCAAAATATTGCCTGTGGCGTAATTCTGAGTTTCAAATATTTGCATAAAAAATCAGCAAGGAAGCTAAAATTCTAACCTTGAAATTCATTCAAACAGTCACTCTTAAGTAAGTTCACCACTATTTGAATAGATACAAAAGATTTGTTTTACAAAATGAAGAGACTCACTCGGTAGCGGATAATATTTCAGATGATGTCGAGTTTTCGCAATACAAAAAATGTGTGTCTTCCAGATTCATTCTATTTCAATTGCGAGCGAAAACAAAACTTCTCAAGATACAAGCAAGAATATGATATAAAAATAATCCTGCATTCTAATTTATGAGTAGTTTCACGAATAAACGAAACAGCTCTTTTCTTCTTTAGAAGAAACCCTACTGACTATAAATATAAACTTCCACTTGCCATGCCAGACTTTTTCCTATTACATATGAGCTGGCAATTCAGAAACGAGGTATAAGTGGTGAAATGATCAATAACACCATTTGGAACTCATGTGTCCTTTCAAGGTGAACGGGGTCTGAAGAACATTTTCTAGAGAAATCGAAAATGTGTAGAATATGGAACCAAACTTTTTTCTAAGTTGCTTAAACACAACAGCGAGAATATTTTAACAATCACTGCATTTCATTTGTTAAAAGGAAAAAAGACAGTATAATCATAGAGCTCTGGTAGTCAAGTCAAAAAGAGAAAAAGAAAAATTCTTGGTAGAGAATGAGATCATCAGATTACAGGATTCAAGTAGAAATTTTTCTTATTTGAAAGTACGTCAAATAAGGATAACAAACGACTGAAAGCCAAAAAAAGCATACCTTGCGCATACAGAAGTGCAAATGTGATCAGTGCATGTAGAATCATCTAAAACAATACAAATTTTTATCGTGGGGTGACTTATAAAGAAATCAATGTAGAGGAAGGCACGTTAGGTTCAGCTTTTTGTTAGAGAAATCTACATGAAGCTAAATAAAATAGATTCTTCCTCCGTTCTCGTTCCCTCCGCCGCTTTCCCTCCACTTGTAAGCAAATTTCAGAAAAGAAAAGGTGAGAACAGCTGATGGTTTCATCTTTCATCGTAGTCGCTTAACAGGTATATAAACGGATGGGTGGGAGAGCGTCGAGATGGCTACGAGAGCGAGACACTGCAACGAGCGCGAGATAACCGGCTGCGCAGTTTGCGGGCTTACGGTCTTCCGGTTCGACAACTCGTCCCCCCACACTAGCACAAAAGGCAACAACAAAGAATATTCACGAGAATGATGGCTAATCTTGAAAATGACGTCTAAATGAGGCGTCAAACAAGTCGACGTTTTGAAAAATTTAGACTATATACTGTGTCAGCGCGGACGCGCGCGATTACGGTAACCATAAAGGATGCCTAGACATACTGTATTCATGAAAAGTGGCAAAGAGTTAAAAGCTCTTAAGGAGACATCATACTTACCTAATTTCAGTCTCAACTAATATAAGAAAAAGCAGATTTTCATAAGTCAGTTTTATAGGTCTCTAATTATAGATGCAAATTCGTCACAAATCACATCGCATGCTCATGTTTGCAGAAAAATATCAGTACCCAGAAAATGTTTTTGAATTTTAGCCCAAAATAGAATGCTTTCTCTGCTTTTTATAAAGAATAATTTACTCAGAGTCACTCCCAATATGGAGGGTTCGCTTTTCTTTGGAATTACCCTGAAGACCAAAGACTGCTTCTTTTGCTTTGTATTAGAAATATCTCCTACAGTGTCATCTCCAATTTTCGAACAGAGGATTTCGCTTTTCTTTGGAAACATTGTCAAGATCTACTCCAAAGGTTTTAGATATTTTGGAACAATTCAATAAAAAAATAAAATAATAGCAAGGCTATTGTTAGAGCACAAGGGCCACGCTTCCTCTGCGGAGATCAAGAAGATTAGCAAGCATTTAGCCCGATAAAAGAGAAAACTTTATCCGAAAAAAGATCTCGCAGCGGGGGAATCCGTTACTTTGCAAACTAGAGTCTTCATAAAAATTGGAGAGGAAAGAATAAATGAAATGCTTTGTATTCATCTTTGAAAAAAAAAAGAATTATGAAGCAATTTTCAAGATGACAAGTGGTCACGGTGTTGTTTTTTTTTTTGCACTATTGGGTGGCAGGTACCAAACCGAGAAAAATCAGTATCATTGTTGGAAGGATGCAACAAATAGAAAAAAACTGTTCTATTGCTTCCTCGTTTAGGATAATGCTTGCTAGCCCTAAAAGACAAGACAAGTTCTTGAGAAGGACGAAAACTGCATCAACAAGTATTCTGTGGCGAAATGAACAATAATAATTTGCACCATTTGCAGGTGTTTCAAGCACAATGTAAACAATAGTGGAACGCCTAGATGGTTTCACTTTACACCAAAATTGATTATGGGCTATTGGGGAGAAAACTCGGTATAAAGTTTTTGTAACATTTCCAGCCAAGACCATGAGATTTGAATTTTTGTGTATTTTGGGGTACCTTTGATGGCTCTGAAAATAAAAAAAGAGAATTTTCAAATGAGTAAGCTCAGCAAACCAGACCTACTGTACTTCAATAAAAAATCAGGCTACACTAAACTACAATCAAATATTTATAATTTACTAATCATTATTAATTGTTCTTTATTTTATCAAATAGCTTTAATCAACTATTTTGAATTACATTGAAAGGATTACGAATAGTGCTCGATGAAAAGAAAGAAGACAGATTTGGATTCTACTGAGCAAATGACTAGAATTTTTTTTCAAGATTCAATACTAGAAAAAATGGTCTAATAAAGGCCGTGGAAGGTTCTTTCAAAGCCTAAAGCCTTTATATTATTTCAAAAATTATTTGCGATGCGAAAACGGGCCTGATGAAATATTAAGCCGCAATAAGCCGCTGTCAATTCTATAATCTGCAAATCGACAAAATGACCGAAAGATGAAATTCTAAGAGAAGGCTAATTAGCCGAAAGCGAACTGTTAAGCGCTGGAACATCGCGTACGATCTTTCTGAGTGCGGCCGAGACGCGCCAACTCTTGCAAACCCGTTCCGTGACGGAAGCATCCCACTTTCTTTTTTCAAGCTGTCATTAGTCTCTTCCAAATACTAAACATATGTAGAAAAAGTGCGATGGACGGTTCTGACATGCCAGCCACCAGTCGATGTTCCAAAATGGCTGAAACGTTAGCCAGTTCGGAAGGGGGAGTGCCCTATACTAAGGTTCGACAGGACGACTACCTCCAGTCGCCAACATCGGGAGGACCCAAAGTTAAAAACGGTTTTTCATATGAAATATAAGGTGTCCCAAAAAATGTCAACACTGTTTGATCGTTGATAACTCCCTTGCTTTCGTGTCTGTAGTGCGAGGTTCAACTTAGTTTTGCAGTATGGAGCGAATCACCGATCGATCTTTCTTACTGTGGGATTACGATACAAACTTCTAGCATGGAGATCCATTGTGAAATATGCCATTAGACAAAAAAAATTTCAAAAAATCTGAAAAGTAGTGTACTAGGATTTTCGCGCACGCTGATTTCATTACACAACTTTTTACGAGTGTTTTAAGCTTTTTTGAAGGTAATAACATTTCTGACAAATGCTGGAAATTCAGTTATTACGCCTTTACCTGGTATAACCTTGAAAAGAAGCATTACATTAAAATTAAAACTTCATATTCAAAATCAGCGGCTTCCATTACTATAGTATAAGAGTTTTTGGCTGGTTCAGTTTTGTTCCGAGGCAGAATATTGCCTCCAATGCCTAAAATCCTCGTCGAAGTTCCTACCGTAACCCTACAGTAATGAAGAATGATCGATGATTCGCTCCATACCGTAGATCCAAGTCGAACCTCGCTCTATAGAATGTGCCTAAAGCTCTGCGAAAGACAAGATAGCAAATGAGTTATTAGCGATCAAAGAGTGAAAATTTTTTGGGACACCCTGTATTTGTGCGAAGTCAAGGAGGCTTCACAAGATGGTCGAAGGCAACATGCCCAGCGTCCTGCTTGTCAGCTCATTTTCTCAACTCAACATGTTCTTCGTAGTATACGCCTTTTTTGTGATCAAACCCGAAAATGTATTGCACCAGTTCGTCGGGGATCCGCTGCGGAGTTATAAAAATACCATACAATTGGCACTTGAGACACTAATACAACCCGCCCGTAAATGTTGCCAATAAGGGGAAACGAATAGAGGCGATCGTGATAATTACAAGCTAATGGTCGCACGTATTCTTTGCATAGCGAATGTTTTTACTTACCGCGCACTTCACTTGCAAAGTGGCGTTGAGTTGTTTAAACCAGAGAATACCAAAATTGCAGCGAATCTCGTTTCTGTGAAGGAATTGTCTTCTTCCTAATGCTGTTTCTGAAGCCTCATCATATCAGGTTGCTGCATAAGTTCTGTTCGATTTAATTTTTTGAATTCAAAATATTGTATCATAACTTCATACAAAATCAACCTTTTCCGATTAGTTTCAATGTGTTGAGGAGCAGTCCTTTAGTTTTCACAAAAATCCTCTTGAAAAAGAAGCAAGAATTTAAGAACTTCACAGGTTTTTCTTCAAACCTGCCTTTTTGACATGGCAGTGCTCCCTTATGAGAAGTGACAGGCAGCCATGGGTAAATAGATAGAGGAAATTTTGATGATTATTTTATAGCCTGAAGGTACCCATAGGATCTTCGGTGCCAAGAGATTTTTTGATCGAATAAAAATGAAGTCGTTCAGTGCATGTACAGGGTGTCCCAAAGAAATGTACCTACTGTTTGATTGTAAATAACACTCTTTTAATGAAGTGTTTGAAAAGCTTAAGGTACCATTTTGTGGAGCGAGTTTCAACTTAGATCTTCGATTTTGAGCGAATCATCGATCGCTCTTCACTGTAGGATTAGGTACTAACTTCGGCAAGGATTTTAGGCCATTGGAGGCTATATGCTGCCTCGGAACAGGAAACAAGCCAAAACTCTTATACTACGGTAGTGGGAACCGCTGAATTCGAATTTGAAACTTTCACTTTACTGTGATGCTTCTTTCCAAAGTTACCCGCGTAAACCGTAATAATTGATTTCCAGTACTTGTCAGAAATGTCTTTACAAGTCAAAAAAGCTGAAAACACTCGTAAAAAGTTGTTAGGTGGAATCAGCATGCGCGAAAACCTTAGTACACGGTTTTTCAGATTATTGAAAAAATTTTGTTAGGTGGTATATTTCACAATGGTTCCATGTGCTGAAAGTCCTTACCGTAATCCTACAGTAA